TTGTTCTATGACCTTAGCTTCCTCTCTCCACTGTTTTCTATTGTAACTGCTTCATTGCATATCATATGCAATGATTGTATTCTTAAATCTTTTCAAATTAACATTTCTACATGATTCCAGTTACCTTCTGAATAGCCTTGGTGATGCATATCATATCTGGTGGTCATTCTTTAATGGTAACTGGATCTATTAAGTTTGGTTTCTTTTAATAACCTTATGATATTCCTCTTCAGTTTAATAATGTAATGGTGAAATAGTTTCTGCTCTGCACTGCTGTATGTGAATATTTTTCTTAGTTTCATTAGTAGGTCTTCCTAACACTTATATCTTATCAGTCAAATTTTTGTATTTGACACTCATATCAAACCACTTTTTAAAGGATAAAATATGAATTACCAAACCCATAATGCCATTGCATCAATCCCAGCTAAGCTGATTGTCCCTTTTTCCATTTTCAAACTATCCATTGAGGAACCATACAGAGACTATCTAACTCCTGGCATTATAATATTGTTCACCATTCTTAACATGGGGAAAAACTTTAAAAAAAAAAAAACAAAACTAATTTCCCCTTTAAGAATTCCCAGGTGTGTCTGTTGAAAATGACAGCAGAGTAGCAGAGAAGATGGGAAGTGCATGGCCTTGCTGAAGGCAGTTGCAGCTGCTCACATGTAGCTGGGTGCTGAGAGTGTGGCAGTGGCAGCTGCAGTAAAAGCCTAAGTGGGTGTCAAGGCAGCTGGCCTGGGGTGGCAGTGGTCCAAGAAGGGGGTTCTTGGGGAAACCTGTACCACATGGGGAGAGGAAGCCAACTGAAAAGTGGACACAGTATGCAGAAACAGAGGGTATGGGCCCTAAATGACAGAAGTGATCAGTGATGGCCATTTGGGACCCAGCCACCTGTGGCATTTGATACTGGCTGCAGCTGAAGGCTTCTGTGGAGAAGCTGCAACAGATTGGCACCAAGGACTTGAGTGGAGGGAGGGAAAACCAGCCGTGATGGCAGTGGCAACTCCAGCCACAAACCTTGTGATCTTTTGCCTCATGTTGGGCACCAGATGAAGCATTTATCTAAAACTCAGGAGTCAGATATTGGGATAAGAACCTAAATGATTAGAAAAGTGGCAGAGAAGTGACCTCTCTCCCTCTCTCTCCCTCTCTCCCTCTCTCCCTCTCTCTCCCTCTCCCCCCTCTCTCTCCCCCTCTCTCCCTCTCCCCCTCTCTCTCCCTCTCCTCCTCTCCCCCCTCTCTCCCCCTCTCACCCTCTCTCCCTCTCTCTCTCCCCCTCTCTCCCTCTCTCTCTCCCTCTCTCCCTCTCCCCCTCTCCCCCCTCTCTCTCCCCCTCTCTCCCTCTCTCTCTCCCTCTCCCCCTCTCCCCCCTCTCTCCCCCTCTCTCTCCCTCTCCCCCCTCTCCCCCTGTCTGTCCCTTTCCCCCTCTTCCCTCTCTCCTCCCTCTTCCCCTCTCCCCCTCTCTCCTCCCCCTCTCCCCCTCTCTCCCCCTCTCTCCCTCTCTCTCTCCCTCTCTCCCTCTCTCTCTCCCTCTCCCCCCTGTCCCCCTCTCCCTCTCTCTCCCCCCTCTCCCCCTCTCTCTCTCTCCTTTTCCCCCTCTTCCCCTCTCCCCCTCTCTCCTCCCCCTCTCCCTGCCTCTCTCCCACAATCCATAAAGGCTGAGAATCTTTCTGTGCTCCACCCTGATACTTCCTGTGTTTCTTTATATGACCTCAGTCCTCCAAAACCTCTGGCTAATTTTGTCAGCTAGGAACTAGCTCCACCTTCTGATTGAAAGTAAACTTTATTGTCAGTCTCAGGTATGATAGAATTCGATCAAAATATCCCATAGCATAGAGTATCATTATTTAACCCTGGCTGTCCTGGAACCCAATAAGAGATAGACTGACCTCAGTCTTAAAGAGCTGCCTGTCTCTGCCTTCTCAGTGTACCACACTGTGCCTGACCTTACTGTAATTTTTAAAGAAAAAAAAAACTATAGCTGGATTATATGTTCTGTAAATTTCTTCAAACCTTAGAAGGCATGAGTGCACTACAGTGTATTTGTGGGGGCCAGTGTAAAGTTTTGGGAGTTGCTTCTCTTCTTCCATCTTTAACATGGTTTCTGGATTTTGAATTCAGTTTGCTGGGTTTGCATAACAAGTGTCTTTACCCTCTGAGCTATCTCACTGGCCCCTGGCCTGGTGATGTTGTTGACCAGCAACCCCTGAAAATACAAGCCTTTTAAAAATGACATTATTAAAAGGGATGTGTGATTGATTTTTGTTTTTTTTAAGACAAGGTCTTATATAGTCATAAATTTATTTAAACTTCCTGTGTATAGATAAGGTTTGAACTTCTTTCCTTGTACTACCACATCCAGTTTATGCAGTGCTGACAGTTTGTGCATGCTGACAACTGAAGTTCAGTCCTAACCTTTGTAGAAATGCTAAAGCTAACCCTGAACTAGACAAATCTTGCACTTTCCATATGGACCCATAGGTGTCACTGTATTTCTCTGGAAAATGTAAAATAATTGTCCATATGCCTGAGTACACATTCGTCAGCCTTGTGGTATTGATCATGGTTATATTCAAGGACTGGAATTCTTGCTGTCTAGCAAGGCTAGTTTCAAACTCTTCCTCTGGCCTTAACCTTTTGTGTGTTGAGATCATAGGCATGTGTCACTGTGCCTAGCTTTACATCAGCATTACTTATTTATGTTTCTGCTTCTTTTATAGTGAGCTATAGCACAAGGCATCTGAGAAAAATATGATTGTGTTTTTATCTAAAAATGTATGCTTTATTCACCTACTTGTTTTTGGTAGTATGGCAACAACACCTTTTTATTCTACCCAGAATACTACATTGTATTTATTTTACTTAAATTTCTTCAGGTTCTTGGCAGTGACAGTTTCTCCAAGTTTCAAGTGTTTTGTTTTTTTTTTTGTTTTGTTTGTTTTTTTTTTTTTTTTTTTTTTTTTCCTTTTGAGACATGCACTACTGTCTCCAAGGTTTCTACTAGGATGTGTAAATGAAGTTTCTGTCTTTCAGGCATTCAGTGCCAAATAAACACACAGAGGGTTATATTAATTATTAACTGTTTGACCAATGGCTTGGGCTTCTTATTGGCTAACTCTCTTATTAACCCATTTAAAGTTTGAGAATAGATTGAGATCATTTCAGCCCCAAGACCTCTAATCATTCACTTTATCAGATAAAAGTGCATTGTTGCCTGGCTCATGCCAGCAAGCTGAGCTTCTTGCCCATTTAAAGTTTGAGAATAGGTTAGATTAATCCAGCAGCATTTATAATAAATGTCTTTTAGAAGCTGTTGCTCCTACCTCAGTAGCCAAACAATTTAAAGACAACACAATAACATAGTATCCAAACTCTGTGAATTTTCCATCTTTACATAGCTTTTTTTATTATTATTATGTTTCTTTTATTTGTATTTTGTTGTTGTTGTTGTTTTAACACATGGTTTCTCTGTATAGCTTTAGAGCCTGTCCTGGTGCTCAAATGTTTGACAAGACTTTCCAACCAAGAGATATGTGAGACTTAGAGACTAGGAAACTATTTGGTTTTTGTGTGTTCGGAACCTTAAGTTTTCTCAAATTTTATGTGGATATACATTGCCGGACTTTGGGCACCATTTGTAGGTAGAGTTTTTCGTTGGGATCACTGGCCAGCTCCTTACAATAATAAATTATAAATGCTCAGCCAATAGCTTATGCTTTTTACTAACTAGCTCTTACAACTTAAGTTAACTGATATTTCTTATCTACAGTCTGTCACATGGCAGTACCTTTCTGCAGCACAACATGTTCATCTTGTTTCCTCAACCTTTTCTTGCCTACCTATTGGCCAGACAGCTTTTTTGTTTGTTTGTTTGTTTGTTTGTTTTGTTTTGTTTGAGACATGGTTTCTCTGTGTAACAGCTGACTGTATGTCCTGGAACTCGCTCTGTAGACCAGGCTGGCCTCGAACTCTCAGATATCCACCTGCCTCTGCCTCCCTAGTCAGCTCTTTATTAATCAATGAGAATAATACATACTCACAGTGTACAAAGAGATTGTTCCAGAGCAGACTGGCTTCAAACTCACAGAGATCTACCTGCCTCCTGAGTTCTGGGATTAAATGCTTATACCACCATGCCTAGTTTGAAGTTTATGTTTTAAATCTGGTTACAACTATGTAACAAGCATTATACTGGATACTGTCAATTTTCCAGTTACTTGTGGGAGGTGAGATTTTAGATAGTAGGAATAGTTGTTGCAATGTCAGCTCCATTGTCCCTTGAACTAGAACTATTGTTCTATAGAGATTTGCCTGCAACTTAAAGCCAAGATTATAATATTGGCTTCTGTCCAGCTCTAGTATTCTTAGAAAAATAATATGTGCTTTAAAACAGAAACCAAGAGATGCAGTTAGTAATGTTGACCTTGAATTGTCCTCTAAGTGTGTGGACCTGAGGAAGACCTGAGAGGATTGTATTTTGTGGAGTAGTTGAAAAAATGAAGCAGTGCTGCTTAACTAAGGAAGCAATTGGCCCTGCAGTAGAAGCCAATCCTAGGCCTGGTTTTATGAATTGTCTGCTGTATAGGAAAGTTATTCAACCTCTCTAAGAGTATAACTTCAGTTATGTGGCTAAATTGGTAAAGCCTACTTCCTGAGGTTATTAGAAGAAAATCAAATGTTTGGATGTGTATGAAGTGCTTTTCTTTTGTGGCTGGAATATAGACCCATTTTTAGATGATGATAGTTGTTATTGCTGATGTTAGTTTTACTTCTGATTCCTTTTATTTACAAAATTGCCAATTATAAGCATGGTGACATACTTTATGCTCAGCACTTGGAAGTCAGAGACAGGTAGTAAGTTTTGTAAGTTCCAGACCAGTTAGTGCTCTACATACTGAGAAGCTGTCTCAAAAACATCAGCAAAAACAAAACTATTAGCTCTGAAAAATCTGCCAACTAACTGTTAAAACTAGAATTTTAAATTTGGATCATAGGTTATAATGATACATCTAAAGGTGTTTGGAGTGGTGGAAATTATATGGAAGAGGATTGAAAATCACTGCCAACAGATGCAGGTAAACAGCCTAAGAGAAAACCATAAGTACAGGGACAAGAATTTGGAGGAAAAAGCCATGGAATTCAAGACACTGACTTATTATTACAAGTTCTATCATACTTTTCTCAGTTCATTCAAAAGGTTCTATTAGGTGTTAGAAAGGCTGGAAATCATCAAATTGGATTATAGTTCAAAATCAGCCCTCTGCAGGAAACCTGATATAAACCACTTCGCCTAGTACTTCCTCTATCCTCATCAAAGTGTCAAACTTCTGTTATGCCTGACCTTCCTGCTGTTGCTTAGCACACGGGGAGACTTGAGTCATGGCCTGTATTCTTGGTGTTTTGTCTGCCTAGAATATCAGGTTTCCCACATAGCTTAAAAAAAAAATAAAAAACAAAAATAAAACAGAAGAAACAGAAAGGTGGGATTCAAATATATTATGCATCAGTTTGCATAGCAGCACTGGTCACAGTAGCCAAAAGGATAAAACAAATAACCATCCATGAATGAATTTATACACAAAATAGTGTACACATACAACCATACTCTTGTAAAAAGAAATTAGTTGCTGACAGATGCAATAAACTCAAAAGACATCCTGCAAAATAAAATAAGCTAGGAACAAAATGTCAAGTATTATAAGAATCCAATTAACAGAATTCAGTGTCCCCACATTGCATTATACTTCCATAGTCCCATATCATAGAATGAGGATTATAAGCTTGACAAATAGCCAGGGTTACATAGTACAGTTCTCTGTAGCATGAATAAAAAAAAAAAAAAAAAAACAAAAAAACACAGGGACAGATATTGGAGTTTTTCAAGCTTTTGAAAAAGCAAAGCAGCCAAACCACCAGAGAGCTCTTACCTCTACCAAGACTGGGGCAATCCTGTCCTGAATGTGGATGGAGACTAATTGCCAGCTCTGAGACTGGGATTAAAGTTGTGCACCACCACCGCCCAGCTCTGTGGCTAAATAGTGTGGCTGCTGTGACAAAAGGTATATACCACTACTGCCTGGTCTCTATGGCTGTGGCTAGATTTGCATTCTGATTTACTGGCAAGCTTTATTAGATCATAAACAATCTATCACCATAGTTCCACTTTTTTGTTTAATATAAAAATGGAAGCTATAACTAATATAAGAAAGACCATGTACAATAAGTACAATAATATAATAATAATATAATAATAATAATTACAATAATATAGGCAATAAGTATATCAATAATATCTATACATGTGCATTTGACAAATTCAGAGAAAACACTCCATTATCTATACTATCATGGTGAGTCCAAAGTCTTGTACCTAATGTACTTTCTATTCAAATTTCCATTATCAAATTATATTTAACGTCACTGAATATTTTATACTTTACACCTCTTTAGTTGAGTTTCTTTTCTGAATCTGGTAAACAGGGAAAACTATAACTATCTAGTCTTAAACTTTCACAGAGACCCATGAAGGAAATAATATTAACTGAATAAGCAGGAAGGGCAAGCAAGCAACTAAAAAAAGATGGGGTAAATGACAGAAACTGCTGGCTGCCTGAACAGTCACCCAAGGGTCCTCTGCAACACTGGGGCATCCATCTTCAGCCCACAGGCCTAAAATATCTGACAAACTTTTCTTGAAGCATGATTATTAAAGGACTGTCCTTGTCTTGACAAGGTTTGGCAATTACTCTCTTTTGTGTCCTGCTTGTCCAGTTTGAACAGCATACTGTCAGAAATCAAGGCAAGGGCACTTTCTTGCCCAGTGGGCAACTTTTACCACAAGAAAGTAAACTCCATGTGGAATTTCTTCAGTGCCCATCATCTTCTCTGAAGTGTATTGGTGCTGCCAGGAGCTATTAAAACATCTAAAATGCCATATTTTGTAGATCTCTGAAGTATTTGAAGATGACCTGTCTTTCTAAAATATATGTTTAACTTTGTAAACATACCTAACATGACTAATTACTAATCTGCATATCCATATTATCCTTTCAAAGACTAAAAATTTGCATTACATTGTTAAATGAGCTGTTTAGGTACAATACCTTGAACAATATTAGAAATGTATATACAGTATGCTTTAACAAAATTAATCTCAAATTTGTATTCAGTATACAAAATTTGTATGCAATATACAAAAGTCCAATCTAATGTAAAGTATTTAATACTAGCAGTTGCTTTTTAAAGTAGATTTAATATCCTACATTTTTCTTATGTCTGTATCCTCCCTTTTTTCTCTTAAAGTAGATGCAATAACCTACCCTTTTATCCTATTATACCTGTACCCTCTCCTTTTTTTTTTTTTCTTCAAAACAGGAACTCTGAATCTGAATCTAACCCCCCTATGTTTAACTTTCTTGCTGACTATACCCAATAACAACTTGTAACCAACCTCCTAAACAATGACAAATATCTATAACCCAATAAACAACCAAAAAAACACCTCTTGGAAATATAATTGTGTTCTTAAAGTTACTTCCTGCTGTCTGAGGGTGATGGCATCTTCAGGGGATCCTGAAAAGAACAATTTTGGTTAATTGTCAAGTCCTAGGAGAGGTTGCTATATCATTTGTTGTCCAGTCTCTGAATAATGGGAACTTGCAGGGCTTGTCTCAAGTCCTGACTAGAGTAGTCTGTGAGACTGGATCATCTCAACTAGCCACCTCAAAATTGTTCTGTGCAATTTGTAGTTCAAGTTGTTGTTCAGCTTAATGCTGTTATCATAGTCCTGGTGGAATTGTCATTGTGGGGTTCCATCTTCTTTTTGGAGACCTCATAGTTCACATTAGGTCAGAATATTTCTTTTCTTGGTATTTTTTCCCAGTAGTTCTCCTTTTTGAATGCTTATTTGTCCAAAGATCTTAAATTCCTGAAGTTTATTTTTATTTTCCTGAAAAGACAAAAACAAAACCCTTCCCCATACTCTTTCAGCCTACACACATCGGGGAGGGCCTAGGCCCTGTGCCAAATGATATGACAGACTTTGAAGATTCCCCATGGAAAACCTTACCCTCCCTGGGGAGCAGAAAGGGAGTGGGATGGGGGTTGGGGATGACAGGGGAGGAGGAGAGGGGGAGGGAACTGGGATTAACATGTAAGACAAACGTGTTTCAAGTTTTAATTAAAAATACTACCATTAAAAAACAAACAAAAACCCTTCCCCAACCCTAACTTTGGGGAGGTTCCTAATCTAATCTTTATCAGTTTTGATTGATGATTTCTCCTGAAATTCTTTTATGTTTTCTTACAATAGGCATTAGGTTCTTTAATTGCTCTGGAAAAGAGTTTTCTCTGTGGTGACAGGAAAGGGTTACTTTGAATGTGTCTTGTTGACCTACATTTATTAGTCCAATGCCTGCCTTTGTCACACCTTCTATATAATCCAGAAGGGAGGGGTGTTTTGTTTGTATTATGCTTAGAAAGCTTATTGTTTCTAGGAACACCCTGTTTACAATCCTTTTGTAATTGCCTGCCACAACTGAAACACTTCGATTTTTCTTCAAACCTCTTGAAATTATTTCTCCTGTCCATGCATCATCATGGTCATAAGATTCAATATTGACTGTATCTCAAATCCATCCCTCCAAAGGTGCTGACCTTTTAAGGCCTAATTATTACCCTTTTGCATTGAAAATTAGCATTTTCAAAAGCCGGCAATTCAATTAATATTTGTCTAGCTTCTAAATCTGGTATCATTCTATTTACTGATGTCATTCTTTGTGAGAAGTCCATGAAGGCTTCCTTAGGACCTTGAATAACTTTAGTAAATGACTCATTTTTCTTTCCTACTCCTAAGCATTCAAAGATGCTGCATGGCATAAAGCCAGGGCATGGTTATCATACAGAGCTTGCCTTTCCAAATATTATCATAATCTCATTCTCCAAGAATTTAATCTTGGGAGATTTCCATCCCTCTAGTTTACCCTCTTCTCTGAACCAGGTACCCCACTGTAATTGTGAACCAGGCTCTAATATAGCATTAACCAAGTCTACCCAGTCTTTAGGAATAATTCTATTACAAACTGACAATGAGTTTAATGTCGCTTCACAAATGATGAATGCATGCCATATGAGACTACTCCTTCCTTGAATCTCTTGAAATCTAACATTATCACGGGAATCCAATTAGCTCTTACACAGACTCTATCATTTGACAATTTCTGTAAGATTACTGGATATATTAAGGTTGGCTGTTCCTCTGTAATCTGTAATCTGCAATGCTAAGATTGGCTCTACATTGATTCCCTCTGACTGGATTTGAATATCTCTATGGTCTGCTTTAATAAGTCTTTCTAAGACCTGTATCTTGGCACTCATATCAACTAACTTTTTTAGAGTTAAACCAGGAATTATCAAACCAACAACTAAGATGGTCAAAATGATAATTAGCAAGATGTCATTCCCAGTTAAGTTAATCATCCCCTCATTTAATTGTTCTATTTTTAAGTCATGCAGTGTGCAATCATACAGAGACCTAACCCTCTCCATTGTAATAGGGTTTCTGATTTTTTAATGTCAGGAAAAACAAAAAAACTCTTTTTTTACTAATTCCTCTCTTTAAGAATTCCCAATTGTCTTATCAAATCTGCTAACAGAGTCAGTGAGCTGTGAGGCATAACATATCTGGTAGCCCTGAGTTGAGAGTGGCAGCCCAAGAGGAACTATAGGGAAAGCCTGCAGCCCATGGGAATGGGTTGGGGAAGAGAGACAAAGATGGTGGTCTGAAAAACTGTACACGGGATTATGCCTCAAAGCAGAGCCAGCTGGTCTAGGGGGATTTGAGAGGCTAAATAGAAAAATCCCAAACTTGATAAAAGACTTGTGGGGAAAAACAACAGAGAATCTAGCTGCCTGGGCAGAGACTCCAATGGGAGCCTTGTGTGCAGCTCTGTCCTAGGCTGGTGGCTTCATAGCCACAGAAAAGTAGCTTTTTTGTGGATTTGTACCTTTACATTTGTAGAATGAATAATAAAACCCAGTGACACATATTGGGGTTCAAATTGAAGATCATAAAAAC